GGAAGGCTTTTGGTTCCATTGATGAACCGTATCCGTGGAAGGCTTTTTGTTCAAATGATGAACCGTATCCGTGTAAGGCTTTTGGTTGCATTGATGAACCGTATCCGTGAAAGACTTTTGGTTGCATTACTGAAGCGTATCCGTGGAAGGCTTTTGGTTCCATTGATGAACCGTATCCGCTTAAGACTTTTGGTTCAAATGATGAGCCATAAGATAAGGTTTTGACTGATGGTGTAATGAATCGGCGACTTTCAGTGTATGATGGTGCACTGTATGATGATCCACCGTATGTTGGAGCTACTAAAGTTTTTACTTCTACTTCTGTTGTTTGATCAGGCCATGTGCAAGCTTTGATAGAATCATCCCATTCGGTACCACCTGGGCATGAATCAATATGCATACGTTCACCATCGCACATAGCGAAACCTTTGTTGGTAACTGTTAAAGCGAATGGACCATCAATACCGCGACATGGGCTTCCAATTGCTGTAATAGATAGAAAAAAAATAGGATTACTTTAGTTTTGTTGTATTAGATTGAATTAATAAATACGTACGTTGTGTGTATGTAAGACCATATGATGAACCATCATCTAAGATACAGATATATGGAAGAGCAGCACCTACACGGAATGATTGACATCGGGAACCTGGAGCTTGTCCACATGGTTGTTGAGTTTGACAGATACGAGCATCTAATTCACAGTTTTTGCCTTCGAAACCGGCATCACATTGGCATTGGTAGTGTGAGTCAGTTGGAATGCATTGTCCACCGTTAAGACATGGTTGTGAAATACATAAGTCTTCGAAGGCACCCAATTCTAGATAGAAAAAAAAAAAGATTATTTTTTTCCGAAGAAAAGAAATAAATATTTTTAATAGACATACGGCGTTCACATCGTCGTGATGTTGTGTGATAGAAAAGACCTTTTGGACAGAATTGTTCTGTACCTTTGCTTTCATCAAGACAGACAACAAATTTGCGACCACCATCTAATGGGATAACAGTTTCGGCGACTTGACCACGGCAGAGAAGATCTTAAATATTAAACAATATTAGTTTTTTAAGACAAAAATAATTCGAAAATTTTACCAGCTGGTGTCATGATTTGAACTTGTTGAGTTGGTTCTGGTAAATCAGCTTTAAGAAGACGTGGTGCAGAGTCATAACTTTGACCATAGCTTTGAACTGGAGCTGGTAATTCAACTTTAAGAAGACGTGGAGCAGAGTCATAACTTTGACCATAGCTCTGAACTGGTGCTGGTAATTCAGCTTTAATAAGACGTGGTGCAGATTCATAACTTTGGCCATAGCTGTGAACTGGTAATGTTCGTGGTACTGATGGTGCACTAAAAACAGAAATAATAAATTAAAAGAAGAAATGTTTGTTATTAATATATTTACCTATAACCACCATAAGCTTGTGGTGCTTCGCGATGCATAATTCTATATATTGTAAGCAAAAAAATAGAAGAAAATTCTTATTTGAATAGAAAACTCACGGTGTTGGTAAGATTGATCGTGTAAATGATCCACCATAACCGCCATAACCGCCATAAGCTATAATAAAATATATGATTATGAAAAGTTTAGGAGACAAAGATTTAATTTAACACTTACCGGGTCCAGCAAAAGCTGAGCTCGACAAAGCGAGTAAGCAAACTACGGATATCTATATATTTAAAAAAATTTCATTATAAGAAATAAATAGAAAAGTTATAGATTAACTCTTACCCAAGTCATTGTAATCGGTACTAATATAAAACTACTATCAACTTAATCGTATGAGAGTTGAATGGTGAAGAATATGTTACAGAAGGTATCTATTTATATGCGACGGAAACCTATACCTAGATAGGAATTACAAAGAGAGAGTGATATCACATGATATTATACCATTATGCGCTTTCCATTTCTTTGTACATCCATTTAGTACATGCGATTATTCTCTTTCTTTTGAATCATTATCGAGGGTTCATTATAGTCGATAATTCTGGTCGGCGAACGAATAATACTTATATTGTATAGTCTTTTCGTCACTTATTATGTTGTATCGTCCGAGAAATATCGTCAAATTAGAGACACGATCATTCTAGTGTCAAATGAATTTACTAGTCATCGTCTGGATGATTCACCTTCCTACTTGAAATGTGTCAGTCTTCTTTATATATATATATATATAAAAGAATTATTCGTACATAATATTTTTTTCTTATCCTTTGTTGAACTAATTATTGGCATTATTATTTACTAAAAAGTATCTGCCGTAAAAATTTTTAAACAAAATTTTATTATTTTAAATAACAAATAAATATTATTATAGTTTTTGTTGTTGTTATAACTAAAAGCTTTCAGATATATTACAGATTAAATTTGATTGTAAACAAAGACAGTATGATACGATTTGTTTTTTTAACCCTGTAAGAATATATAGGCAATCGAATTCCTGTTTGCGAATTCTAGTATAGTAACTTTTAAATATATTCATTTTATTCTTGAAAAGAAGAATAATCTTTAATTTATGGTCATTAAACAAAAAATGTATTTAATCGATTTATTTTCTACAAAATCTGTTAGATAAATGATTTGCTTATATATTTTTACAAGAAAAGTTTTTTTATCAATAATTCTATTGAAATATTTTCAAATATTGTATAGCATCCATAATCCATTAAATAGATAATGACAGTTGATTGTTCGTCTATTTGTAGAACATAGGAAGATCAACTGCTAGTAATAATAATGACCTTACTCGTCTAATGAAAACAACATTCTTAATCGTCTCATCATAAGACAAGTACCACTTTGCTTTCTTTACTTAAAAAAAAAAGAAAACAAATTGCGTAGGTACTAATGACGTCTGATCAGAAATATAAAACAAAACAACGAAGAAAACGATATATGTGATGAAACTTGTTTGTTTGTTTCTATCACCAAGTATCAAAGAAGATTTTTTTCTTCTTCGTTGTGTTGATTGATTGATAATGTTTTATAGTGTATGTCAAATATTGTTCTCTTATTCGTTAAATCTATCATCAGTTTATGAAGGCCAACAAGAATTACATGTTTGTTGTTCTAATATAAGAATATATGCATTTTTACGCAAAATAAGATCAAATGATCATATGGAAAGTATAAAAGAAAAAATAAATGATAACATCTTAAGTGCTGCTGTTTATTTCTATCTGATTAGAGAGATATAAAACCTTAATGAATTATTGAATCTTATGTTTTCCTTATTGATAAATGAACATCTTTAAATATCTGTCAAATAATGATGTACGTTATTGATTATTCTTTTTTTTTCCTTTCCTCATAAAAAGCTTGTAACTTTCAGATGACATGTCTCTTGATGATCGATGTATTATGTTGTTGTTATTATGTATATAGCAATATCTTAGATAGAAATTCTTCTTTTTTTCTCTCTCGCTCTCTCTCTCTTCTCACAAGCTAAAGCTATTTCATCTCTTCATCAACAAGGCTATTGACTCATGTATGTACAAGAGAGATTTATTTTTTTGATTTTTATAGAAAAAGACAAAGATAAGATCAAATGTGAAGTATCATATATGTAGAAAATATGATTCGTTTTCTTTCTAATCAGATTTCTTAATCGATCTCTTCCGGATATAATTTGTGTATATAAGTAAGTTTCGATATGTATTGGATAGAATTTCTTTCTAACGATAATAAAAGTAATATTATGATCGTGATCGTATAATTTTTCTATGTTTGAATATAAAAACTAACGATTTAGTTTGATTTTTAGATTAATCCCTATTAATTATTTCTATTCGACAAACTGTCTTTATCTACAAATCATCATATAACCACCCG